AACGTTGACAAGACCGTTCTCCGACACGGTGAGGAAGTGCAGTCTGGGCATTTGTGGCAGCAGATTGGGACTCATTGGGCCCAGCAGTAAATTACTCGATAAATCCAGTTCCTCCAAGCGCTTTAGACCCCTGAGCGCGGATAATGCAGAAACGCTTAGACGATTTCCGCGCATTCTCAGCGAACGTAACACTGGCAATGCCAGGAAAACTTGCGGCGATAATTGTGACAGCAAGTTGTCGCACAAATCCAAATAAGTCAGGCTTGACAGTCCCTAAAACCGTAAGAATGTTTTGTTACTCTTTTATAAAACAATCTTTTCAAAATTATTTTTTACATAAAGTCATTTCTCGTTTATCTCATATATATTTTATATTATTTATAATCATAATTTTATTATTGTCATTTACTGTTTTTCTAATTCATATTTTTTTAATTTCTGAATTATTTTTTCTTTCCTTTACTGAAATTCAGATCAAAACGTCTCGCATTTTTAAAATGTAACACAATAGAATTCAATTACGTCTCAATAACGATTTCTCTCTGTTCGTATTAACATTTCTTTTATTAAAGTTTTCATTATTTTTGATGATATTTATAAAAATGAAACACTTTATACGCAAATCGCTAATTAATTAATCGTACCTTGAACGAGTCCGCTTCTAACGTCTTCAACTTGTTATGGGACAGATCCAATCGATCTAAACCGACTAGATGCGACAGCGCGATCGTGGGCACCGAATCCAGAAGATTGTTGGGCAATCCAAGCGCCTGTAACGGCCGTGCCAACGCCGTGAATGCGTTCTCGTGGACGCGTCTCAGTTCGCCGGTAGAGACGACCAGTCCGTGAAGCGCAACGTCCTCGAAGAAGCGTGCCGGCAACACGGAGACCCCTGTCACGGTCACATCCAGCAGCGATATCGTGTCCGGTCGGTTACGTTTCAAATGCTCGCTGATGATCTAAAAAAAAAAAAAAAAAAAACAACAGTAGAGATAATAAGAACAATATCTTCATTCTTTCTTATCTCTCTCTATATTTGCGTTTATCTCAAAATTTACATACAGATTGTGAAGTATTAATTGATTTTCTGTAACGGTTTTTAATCTAAAAAATATATTATCAATTATTTTCAAAAGATAAAGATTTACAAATTATGTGCTAATTATATATAATATCAAATTAAATCATTATATAATTTGCTTAGCTATCGCCGCGTCTTTTCTAATTCTAAATTCTTTTAATAGATTCGCAGAAAGAGAGTTGCTGCGAGTGCAAGCGATATTTGTTGCAATGTCGTCAAACATAATTGATAACGGGATATACGCGCGGCGGAAAACAACGGATGTACGCAAAGCAAGAGAGATAGAGCAATCGAGAAGAGAGACGAGAATGAGAGGAAAAGAGAAGTGAGCACAATGGACTCTCTTGAATAATATATGTATACGACTTGTATTTCATTGGCAGTCTATACCACCCACGTTCTTCTTGACCGTTGCTTAAAAAGTAACGACCTCGATTGCGCCGCGAAGCGTAACATCAGAGATTGAGCTTATATCTCATTCCGCAGTGTCTTTCGAAATTTTCCTTGAGGAAAAATTAATTTCACACATAACTTTAATTTGAGAATTAAATTTTAACAAATTATTGTTCAAGTTAAGAATTTTCAAGCAATTTTTATAATTAAAGATCTAAATATTCATAAAATTTTCGAAAACGTTTAATTCTCTACTTGCAATATAAAAGATTGTCCTTTAATTTTATTTGAAAAGCTAAATTTTAAAAAATTTGAATACAAATTAAAATAATTTTTTTGATGTTTTAATCTCTCTAAATTAATATTGTCTTATTCAATAACATTGATTAATTTTGTCATGCGGAATTACCTGCAACGCTGTTCTATCGCCGGTACATCTGAGCGTATGTGGAAAGTCGCAGGAACACTCCACGCCCGCTTTTGTGATATTTGGACACTCCCAAGCCACATCGAAGGGAAAAGATGATGAGGATGACGGCGTTGCATTTTCCTCGGTAGCGATTGTTGTTATTCTGAATGTACTCGTCAACAAAGGCGTCTCCGTCGTCGTCGTGGCATTGTTCTCCGTCACATCGAGACATGACGCCGTCATTATCAATGTTAAAACGAGCAAGTTTCGAAATGGCTTCGGCATCCTGGAAAAGAGCATGTTTAATAAATATATTATATTTGCAATTCTTTATTGTACAAAAAATATTTTTCACACGACGTGACAAATAATATTGCTGCAAAGTATAATAAGATTTCGATTTTGTTTCCGGCTGACACGCGCAAATTCATTCTTAAACGCCAATCGCTGATAACCACATTTTGAATTGACAAATTTGAAATTGCGAGTATAAAACTACAAATTCTTATTATTATTTTATATCTGTCTAAAAACATATATTTAATTCCGGGATGTCCCACGTTTATTATACAGAATTATGGCTTGTCACGAGGAGCGATTTAGAAAAGCTGTTGGAGCTCGAACGAGAGTTGCAACAACATACGCCACAAAAGTACAAAGCGGCTTTAAATTCTGCTTTAACTATGTATCTAAAGTACGTGCTCAAAAATATATTGATTTTATAAAAACATCATCCAGCTGTAGTAAAAATATTAAATATCATAATATTACATGACATAATATCAATAATTTCCCATTTTTACTATAGATTGTATATATTTTTTATTATATAAATTATATTTATTTATATAAATTAATATACATAGATATCGTAATATAGTGAGAAGACTCATCATGTGTTATGATCAAATGGTGCACACGCAAAAACGGGAGTTAATCAAGCAAATATTAGACTGTGCTATCGGGCGGATGCTAGAATATAAAAAGGAGATCGTCAAAATGGATCATAGGGATTATCAGTACGCTCTTTTTCTTTGCTTATTCAAATATCTAATTTAAAAAATTGTTTTTCGCTATTTAAAAAAGCGAAAATTAAATATCTTCACACTACGATTTAAAAATATTTGTCACGCAGATGGCCCGACGATATCTTAAATCGTATGAAATTCACGCCGGATGATATCGAGCTACTTGCATCGGTATCAGGCCGGGAACGCCTTGAGGAACGCAGGATATTTATTCAGGAGTTGGTGGAGAGTGCCTACAAAGGTGCGCAAAACCATTTCAATTAATAATAAAATTGTATTAAAAAGCCAACACAAATATATAAAATTAATTAAATTTGAAATATAAATTCTATAATAATATTCTAATTGCTATTTAAAAATAAATATATATAATCTTTTATTTGATAATTCCAGTACCACCAATGAGAGAACGCAGTCTCTCGCAATTACATATTGAAAGTATGACCGAACCGGGGGAGGAAACATTGAAGACGCGTGGGTCGCGTAGAAAAATGCGCGCCGTTCCCTCAAAGGTGGAAGTAATCCGCGAATCGCCCGAAGAAAAAGCCGCCCGAGAAGCAAAGCTCGCTGCCGAAAGAGCCATGCACAGAGCGATATCGCTGATACAGAGTCACGAGAGGGCCAGGAAGGGACGCTGCACCGGAACAGACGGTATATTTAGACGAAAAAAATTAGATAATAAGTTTTCTCAAGCAGAATAATTTTGAAAGAGAAAAACTTTGTTATCCAAATATTATCTATCGGTTCCCCTTATGCAAAATTACTAATATTAAACTGTTTTGTAGTGAAACGTATATACGATTACAATAAGAAAGTAGAGTTCGGAGAGATAGTACCAAGAAAAATAGATCGCTCCAAGTACGTCAAGTCAGCGATAATTATACAACGCGCGTGGCGGCAATACACCGCGAGGAAAGCCACGAAAAAACGGATCGCGCGTCTCGAGGAGGCTTTGGATATGACGATACCGAGCTGGCAGTGTCACAAAACGATCGCAAAGGACGAGGAGAATTTTCAACGACGACGTGCTCTAATGCCCGTATTCGAAACACACACCAAAAAGACGATCAGTGATGAACGTACGAGGGTAAATTTTTCGATAGTTTTCGGATGATTCTGATATATTTTCCGAGGGTTGTAATAAAAAAATAAAAAATAAATAAATAAATTTAAGAAAAAGAAGAAAATAAAAATAATTTTAAACAATTTTCTTTCGAAAGCTACTGAGAATTACAGGCCCCGGATTAATGGAGGATATTACCGACGAGATTTGTGAGTGGTTCGTCATCTGGTACGATACGTCAGGACAATACGATGTATTTCCAGCAGCGAATCTCGGCGGCAGCGTGTTGATCGCGACCGGACAAACCGCAACGCCGCAGGAATATTTAATGGAAATATTGGAAAAGAAAAAAAGAGGCAAAGCAAAGCGCCGAAGAATCGAACAAATAATGCCAGCAGTCAAAGCTGTCAAGAAAGCTCCCGGTTGGAAGATGCCGCAAACAAATGCTCTGTCTTGTTTGGAGGAAGCAAACGATGATTTTATCCGAAACTGGAGCCTTCGCGACGAAAGTGACAATCCGGAGCAGGAAGAGTACTTGGATTTGATTACTGAGAAACTTTGCTACGAGTTGCAGCTCGAGATGAGGGAGATTGTGGATGAGTTGATGAGAGCTGAGTTAGAATTGCTAAATAAAGCGCTACTGAAGGATCGTGAGCGTGGTAAAAAGAAACGCGCTAAACCAGGAAAGGGCAAAGGTAATTAATAGAGAACTAATAATCATTCGCGTTTATTGTCATCTGACGTTTCTGATTGAATTCTATCTCTCTCTCATTTTCTTTTAACAAATTTTAACATGTAACTAGTTTTTAAATTTGTCTAGATATTAAAAATAAAATTTAGGTATTAATTATTATAGCAGATATAAAAAAGGACACTGACAAAGTCCAAATACAGAAGAAAAAGAAGGATATTTTGGAAGATGTGGCCGTCGAGGATCTTTTCAACGAGCTGTTGCAAGCCAAGATTATTAGAAACTATCGGATCGTTTTTTTGCGCGATTGGCTCGGCGATCTTTCCTATCAAAATTATGAAGCGCGTCGTGAATTCCGGAATTATAAAGAACGGCTCGGGGAGATTAAGCAACTCGTTTTGGAATATTGCGTGTTGCCCTTAATGTCCAAGGAGACGCATCGAATCGCACCGCTCGTACGTTCCGTATGTATCTATGGATTACCAGAAGCCGGAAAGACTTTGCTCGCCAATGCTATTTGCTCAGAGGTAGAGTTCTTTAATCTTTCTTTGTGATTAACAGTAATGAAGGAGAAAGCTTTAATATGATATAAATACGAGATAATTTTCTTCAATTGTGTAATATCACGAATTAAAAGAGAGCAAATTTCTAATTGATTTTGATCTAATTGAGCTCTTTTCTAGGTTGGCGCATTACTCTTCGATGTATCGGCATCCGTCTTGATTGATAAATACATGGGCAAAGAAAATCAACAGAGGCTCATAGATATGATCTCCAAAGTGGCCCGTGTTTACGCACCTTCCATCATTTTTCTCGATGCTGGCGAAAAACCTTGGCTGAAGAAAGTTCCGCCGACAGAACAGCATCTTCGACCCAAACGATTCGCAAAGTATTTTGTCAAATTAGTGAAAGGTATCAAGCCGGGAGATCAGGTAAATAATTAGACAAATTCAATTCGATTCGTATTATGATATTTGAAGATTCTTAGATATCAGAAATGCATTTCGTATCGTGAGAACTCTCGGAATGGCACTCCTAAATTGTAGAGGGCTGCTATCGAGCAGCGCCTACTTTGTAAAATTCTTGTTATTCCCGTTTGAGATCTTTCTTCAATATGAATGAATCGCCGCCGCCTCGTCAAGTCCACACACATATAACCAGCTGGGTCTCTCTTTCTCTTTTTCCTACGTCATTCGGACCTCTCGTCTCGATCGCTCGAGGTTGCTCATCAATGAAACACCTCCTACTGATGTATATATAGTAGTATCGTTGTATGGAAACGTAGGTGGCGGGCGAGCTAACGTAGGATTAGAGGATAGAGTGTTGGAGGTTCCGAACAGATACTGTTATTCACTTGCGTAAATGCTATAAAAGACGGATTGATATTTTTATTTGAAAAATCTGCTCTTCTGTTATTTTATTTCAATTTTAATTCAGACTTCTATAAGAATTAAAATTTAAATCAAGATTTATTTTTTATAGCAACCAGTATGAAAAAAAAGGATCAAATAGTAATAATATATTTTTGGTCGTGATAAACAAGATAATATAAAATGATATAATTGTCTGTAACACACAAAAATAAGAAGGAATATTTGGAAGAATATTCACACACACATATATACACACACAGAGCACATACGTATAGAACTGAAATTCTGTTCGATTTTTCTTATTAGAATATTACGAATTCATTCAATAGATACTGTTTCTCTCATTGTCTGAAGAACCACAAAAGGCAACAGCAGCCTTCATTAAAGTGCACGACAAATTCATAAGAGTGCCCACTAGTGACTACAATACGCTATATATGTACTACAAGAATCTGCTAATGAAATATCACGGCGTCGACCGCAATATCGACGTCTCCTGCTTGGCCAAAATGTCCATCGGGATTCCTCTAGACTTTATCCGGCAAGCCGTAGAAAAGGTGCTATCGCTGCGCCGAAGAATCACCTTCAAGTTCAATCCGTTAAAACCGATCGAGATCATGAACGAGATATTGACGTACCGACATCCTACGGAGATGATAGAGGCGTTAGACAAATTTGAAAAACGCACTCCACTTGCCAGAGCTTTGCAAGCTAAGAAGAAAATCCGCGATTGAAAGCGAGCAAAAAAATGAGAATCAACGTGCCACGGAATCAAAATCCGTTTGATGCAAAAATGTGTTTACACGTAATGAAAATCTCTGTTGAATATTTTGTATCGAGCTGACGCAATTTGACGCATAGCTCATAAAGATACAAATCTAAAATATTTCTATCTATTGTAATTGCGTATTTTAATATTTGTATTACTAAATATTAATTTGAAATATTAAAAGAGCGCGTCTGCAAAAAAAAAAAAAAGATGGAAATATTTTATTTAAATGTTAAATTATATATATGTTGTATATAAGAAAGATAATGCATAACACTATAATATGATTACAGTATTGGTACGTACCTATAACGTGCGATGTGCGTCAGTCTCGAGCAACCCCTACACCCTCCCACACCTGACCTCGGTCTCAGAGCGCAGGAGGAATCCAGTAGCACCCACGCCAGTCAAGTGCCTGCGAGTACATCGTGTGATCCGTTCTATAACGACGAAGAGTAGTCTTTAGAAGTTGGGATGTTTCCTGGTATCGTGACCTTTCTTCGAGTTTTATTTTATATTATCTTATATCAAGCTTGACAGGGGATGTCAAAGGTCGAAAGCTCGGTACTAATATCGCTACTCGATATTATTCCTCGCGGTATCGCCGCATAATTGTGACACGCGAAATCGATTCCGTATCGAGGAATCTCCGCGGCAAAGATTGGCGATCTCAACACCCGATGGCGATGATCACCGATGAAGTTTGATTACAGAGATCTACACCGTCGCGCGCGTCAATCATTGGACGCGGATGGTCGCGCGGAAAACGGACATCGCGTCTTCCAAAGGGTCGCGCGGTGACACGAATGCCTGGATAACACCAGGATGATCGCATGGACGGTGGTCGCACAACATGCGTGTTGCGAGGTACTGTGCGCCGAGAGCATGCTCGGCGACCGCTTCCAGAGAAAACGTCGCCTCCATCGTCGTGTCCATACAGTGGGGACTCCCCCGGTCCGTCCGTCCGTCTCTCCGTATGTCTCTCGGTTTCCACATAGCATAGCCATGTATGGAACACGGGACGACGTTCTCTCTCCCGGCCCTTACGCCCACTTGCCGTAGCCGTGCTCTCCGTCGAACTGGAGCAGGTATCGTCGCGATTGACAACGATGATGAGAAGAACGATATCGCCTACGAAGGAAAACTCCTAAAAATATCATGCCGATTAGTGATGCTTGTTCTAATCCACAAAAAAAAAACTCCGCCAAGCGATTTAAAAACATCGATGATTAATCGAAGAAGGTATAATTCTAAAATTTTTAGTTTTTTTAATTCATTAATACAAACACAGTTCCTTTTTCTCTCTCTTTCTCTAATGAGGCAAAGGGATATTTTATAGCTAGACATCCCACATTTTCTCCTTCCATATAAAAACTTTATTTATTGATCCGTTCACGATATGAAAAGTAGCAGCGAACAATCTTCGTACGTGCGTGCTGTTTTCGTATGCATGAGAATTTGGGAGAAGATCGGTCGAGGAGCAAACGAGAAAGAGAGAGAGAGAGAGAGAGAGTGGGTGGAGTAATAGGGGCCCCCGAAGGTCTTTGGGATCCTCGTGAAATGCTTTTTGATACTGGAAATCGATTCGTCGTCGTCGTTACGAAATCACGTAAAACCGGGCCTCTACGCCCACGTTGTAGCGAGAGAGACTGGCGTAAAGAGTTGCGGTGAAAGAAAGTCCGACTTCTTTAATAAGCTTGAAGTGTTTATAACATGCCACGCCAAGCCAGAACGATGTTGGGTCTAAAAATTAAAAAAAAAAAACTGCATATATGAATATTGGATGTCGTAAATAAAACTTTAATTACTCATCATGAAATTAATTCTCATGATTTGACTTTTTTTCTAAATCGATCCACGCATCGCTCTAACGAGAACACAGCAAGAATTCCTTTTTTCATATAACAAAAAGACGAAGCTCATCGGTAGTAGATTGTACGACTGACAGTCTGATCGAGAGTTTCATTGTATACAAATGCCGTTGGAAAAAAAGCGGATTTAAGCGGCGCTTGCATAAGTTAATTTACGTCCAAGTCAGAGCGCACATCCTTCGAACAAAATAAACTGCCATTATTATTATAAAATCATATTAAGATGATCATCATTTTCTTCTAACATATCGCGTTCGTAATACAATATTAGCTCAAAATATAAAGCAAATAACAATAAATTTGCAATATTAATTTCTTTTAAATGTTAATTGTAGTGTAAGTGCGTTCGAAGATGAAGCGTAAATCTTATTAATGCGGCTATAATAAAATCGCCGTGCAGCGTGCAGCCCGGGATTATTCGATCCCACGATCGAGGTCCATTATTGATGCGCGACTCCTACAGAGGCGAACATTTCTCAAGAGCGTGACGACGGAAAGCGCCGTACGATTCCATGAAAGACTATCGTTCGCACGATATACTATCCCAAGGAACTCTGCTTGTGTGCTTGCACAAAAAGCTGCATCCTCCGAACCGGCTATATTGGAGCCAGTTGATCGACCTCCATGCTCTCTCGAAACTTTACGTTTATTACTCGATAATATATTACATTACGCTATAACACATACAGCACATTTAAATTGAATCACTCAAATTTTCATCATGACATATGTAAATAAAAAAGTACAAGAAACTAAAATATTAATATGAAAAGATTTATAGCCAGTTCGCAAGAAAATAGAATACACTCACACACACGCGTGTACATACACTCAATGTTCTCTTTATTATACTTACAATTAGTTTTATAGAAAATATTATGTTTTTTTTTTTTTATATTATACCCAATAAACACAAAGTAACAGTAACATAACATTAATGTTATAATTTCCCACTCAACAATGTAACTGTTACGTACAAGGCATGTTATATTGCAGTTACATTGTTGAGTGGAAAATTATAACATTGATGTTATATTACTGTTACTTTGTGTTTACTGGGTATTACATATTGCAATTATAACTCTACAAAGAGAAATAGAAAATAGTACAATTTATAAATAGTGGTACAAAAATAAGAAAACGCTTTGTGTTGCTTTTAAAATATGGATAATTGCACAATCATCTACAATATTGACGATTTAAAAATTCATTTATTTTAATTCTGATTTGAGCACATTGAGACAGCTAAGTGATATCTTCACTGAAGATCAATCGGCAGCCTCTTCTTGGAAATTAAACTTTCTTGGGGATTGAAGTCTCTTCCATTATGTCAATGTAATCTTTGACATCGTTTATATATTTCCTTAAGAACTTGTGATCCTTTTTTATATTCTTAATTAGACTTTTAACATCAGTTTCTCTATAAAAATGAGAAAAAGATAAGAATAGCAATTCCATTAAATTTCCAGTTGTGCAATCCATTTTTTCATGAATTTACCTTATTGTACCTAGTAAACAATGAACGTTTACGTCCTTTGAAGTGAGTTCATCGAAACGTTTGACTTTAACCGTAACTTTCAATATAGTGTCCATTTGTTTGCTTCGAGACAGGAATGAGATGCTAAAATAAACATGCTATTACTATTTCATAAAGTTATATAATATATATATAATATATATGTATTGTGTGAAAGAGATATTATATTTTAAATAATACAGTATCTCATATTAAATATAGTATAGTATAGCATAACATAGTGTAATATGAATAGATATAAATAATTACTGATCATAAGTAATTTCCATCAAATTTAAATTGTCCAAATGCTTCAAATCGAACATGAAATTCATTGCTAATTTCACATGTTCTGAAACACATTCTAGCATTGGTAGAATGTCCTCATGAGTTCTATACCTATACATAAGTAGTTTCGCATCTAGTTTTTCCAGAATTAATTTATGAACTATCCTTACTAATACACCTGAATCATCTGTCAGAAAAATAAAAAGAAAAATATAAGAGTAAAATATTGTAATTTTGTCCTTTAATTAATATTTGTATAATTACCTGAAACGCGGGAAATAATCTTGATTTTATTAATCAGATTTTCTTCAGAGCAATTAAGATCATATGATAAATACATTGCTATCAATAAAGAATTCGATATGAAGCCGAAAACAAACATTTTCCTGTCAATATTCTTATGATACATGTTCCAAATGCAATCATCCCTGTAATAAAATAATATTAGCTCTCTTCAATCTTCCTTTATAGTAAAAAAATTAAAAAAATTATATACCTTTCGCAATGTGTTTCTAATTTCTGCGATAACGATAAAAAGGGATCTTGCTCAACCAAAGACTCGTCTTCATTCGCGCTAACGCATCGTTCTACTGCGAGTCTTTCTTCTGTACATTCTTCGTTTTGTTCCATTTCTGTTACTCTTACTTCGTCATTTAAATTCTCTTTGCAATTGTTCTCAGAATATAATTGATTTTCAATTGCTTCTAACCTTTTGATATGATCAGTGCACTGTTCTGTCTTTAGTCTTTGCACATCCGAATATTCTTCTTTCTCTTTAACATTATTTTGTGGATTTGCATCATTATTTACCCTTTCTTGGATGTATTCTACTTCAGCTATTATTTCATTCTCTTTGATAATTGGCGATTTGCAATGATCAGTATTTGTCTCTTCATGTTTATTATTTTGTATTGATAACACATTTTCTGCATGAAAATTCTCTACATTCATTCTACAATGATTAGATTCATTAATTCGATTGTCATTAATAATTATTCTTCTGATTGCTTGGCAATCATCTTCCTGTTCAGTTTTATTCGCTATAGTTCTTCTAGAGCAATCTTCCATTTGAATGTTCTCTATATTTATCGATTCATTTTCTCTTAAAACTGTAAAACTTTCATTATCTTTTGCTATACTTTTTCTCGATTCTGCTAGACATTCGTATTCTGGAATATTATCTATTACTAATTGGTTTGAACTATTATGTATATTATCAATTGTTCCATCACCGGTCGATATCTGAAGTTTGTCTTTGCATAAGGCGTCAGAAAAGGAATTCTCGTCTTTGTAACTATCTAATAATATGAACGATGGTGGTTTAATCGATTGTAACTCTTCGATATTGTTTCCCAGAGTTTTTAACAGACTACAATCGCTAATCTCATTTAGATCATCTCTGAAATTTGATCGAGACAACCCAGTATGATCCATTGTATCCTTTACAAAACACTCATTATGTCCAGTATCATTTATATAAATATCATTAGGCCTTGGAGATAAACATACATTATTTTCTTGAGGAGTGTGAAATTCCATAAAAGACTTGCAAATCTTTTTCGAATTTGATTGTTCATTTTCATCAAAAATCGTTTTGTTTGTACTGCTAATATTTTTTAAAACTGCATTTAAGGAGTGATCTAAATTATTTGACAGAGATGGAATAACAAAATTATCAGGCAATTCATCGTGCGTGTCTGTCGTTTCTGTAATTTCTCTTGAAATTATGTAATTTTCTTTTGCTGCACTTTTCTTCAATTTTGTTAAATTATCTGTTGTTAAATGTTGAAATTCATTATCTCTAGAAATATTTAAATTCTCCCTTTCATTTGTCGCATCTTGTGTAAGATGTAAAGTCGATAAAATTGTATCAGTAATTTCCATTGATACATGTTGAATTGTTTTGTTTGCAGCTGTATCAGCTTGAAATGTCGATTCAGTTGAATTTTCAACAGGCAAACGTGCTTTTGACATAGTTTGAGAGAACGATGTAGATTGTGCAGCGCAAATAGTATTAAGTGTTTTTTCATGATGCAAAGAGACTGGGACAGCTTCAGTAATCTCCATAGACTTGTATAATAATCTAGTTTTTTCATCAAAGCCATTTGAATTATCCATATTCTTTTTTTTACATGTACTCTCTTCAGATATTGACTTGTGAACGATTGGACGAGTAATTTCTTCTTGATTTTTTAACACTTTAGTCATTTCCATGGATACATCATGAAAGAACATAGTTCTATCATCTTTGGATATTAATTCATCTATTTTCAAATTCTCCTTGTCGTAAGCAATCAAAGGTAACATATTTACAGGCTTTGTTATTTCCATTACATCATTAAAAAATTCAGTTTTATCAATTTGATTTTCTCTCAAATTATTTTCTTTAATTATATTTTCATCATGAGGATGTGCAATATTTCTGTCATACATTTTTGATGATATAGCAGTAGTCATTTCCAATGAAACATTAAAAGCTGTATTGTTTACATGGGATATGTCAGTGCTTGCGATAGATGGCTGTATTACATTTGTTAACATCATTGATTCATTAACATTCTGTGTTGCATCTTGTGTATGTTTAAAAACAATATTTTCAGAAGCAATATTAGATTGTAAATTTGTTGAAAATATCGTCTTATTATGTGTAATATTCCCAACGGTCGAATTCGTACTTCCATGAGTTTGTATGGGGTTGTTTTTATGAGATATGTCAGTGCTTGTGGTAGATGGCTGTATTACATTTGTTAACATCATTGATTCATTAACATTCTGTGTTGCATCTTGTGTATGTTTAAAAACAGTATTTTCAGAAGCAATATTAGATTGTAAATTTGTTGAAAATATCGTCTTATTATGTGTAATATTCCCAGCGGTCGAATTCGTACTTCCATGAGTTTGTATGGGACTGTTTATATGAGATATGTCAGTGCTTGTGGTAAATGGCTGTATTACATTTGTTAACATCATTGATTCATTAATATTCTGTGTTGCATCCTGTGTATGTTTAAAAACGGTATTTTCAGAAGCAATATTAGATTGTAAATTTGTTGAAAATATGGTCTTATTATGTGTATTATTTCCAACAGTCGAATTCGTACTTCCATGGGTTTGTATCTTTGAAATTTGTTCAAAAATTCCTAAATCAAAGTTAACAGACGGTCGAATTCGTACTTCCATGGGTTTGTATCTTTGAAATTTGTTCAAAAATTCCTAAATCAAAGTTAACAGGTTTCACCGATATTGGTACAGCCTGAATGGATACATTATTGCAGTTGCTAACCCAATTTGTATTTAAATTTAGGTTCAATGAACATTCATCTTTCTGTACATTTATTTCTTTTTCTGCATGTAAAGATAGCAAAGGCGTATGCATTGGTGTAGTAAACTCCATAGATAAATCCTGAGCACATGTCATATCTAATTCAGAGTCGACGTTGTTGCAACATAATTCAGAATATGATTTTATACCAGTATTATTTGAATTCTTTTCTTCATCAGAGTCTCTGTATATAATAATATTGCTGGATGTTGCATTTTTAGATACATTAGATACAGTAAGAGCATTTGTAGTATTACTCGCATTGTTCTCTTCATTGGAGTCTCTATATATAATAATATTGCTAGATGTTGCATTTTTAGGTGCACGAGATCTAAAAAGAGCATTTGGCGTTACATTTTGTTCATGTTGAGACGTTTCATCAGATGGTTGCACATATTTCTCATCTGTGTTGCTACATGCAATACTACTTAATGTTGCATCCTTAGATGGTTGAGATATACCAGATTTATTTGGCAGTATAGTCTCTTGGAACTGAAATCCTTCATCAAACAATTTCATTTCGATTGGATTAGTAAAATCCAAATCACAGTTCTCATTATCTTTTCCTTTAACTTTTATGTTAGACTCAAATAACTGATTATTTGTCAAGTTGGAGTTGTTTGAACAGCTTGAATTATTTTCCAAGATGTGTACATATTCATTATTAGAAATACATAAAGATGCATTTTCTTTTGATTCAGTTTTAGCATTCGAGTCTAAAGAAACAAAAGATCCTTTAAGACTAGAATCGTGCTTACTATCGTGCTCTTCATATGTATTATCCCATACAGTTCCTTGATCTATCGAATGACAAAACTCTCTGTACAGAATAGAATAATTAAAGAAAAGGTATTAAAATAAAAATAAATTGTTGATTAACTTTATAATAGTCAATACAATATACTCACTTGACATGTTTCTTATCTGCAAAGCTAACGCGCCTTTTAGTTTTTGATGGGGTTAAACTTTTTTCGTTGTGTGGAGAATCAAAATTCACATTTTGTAATGGTTGTCGTGGTTTACGTGGTTTAAGAATCTACCAACATCAAAAATCATTAATTTTTAATATTAATATATTAATATTAAATCGGACATTCTTTTAGTTTGCAAAAAGTGAGATAGTTAAGCTATAAAACAATTGTAAACAATAAACTCACCGATGAACGTCTAGATTCACTTCTCTTGGATGTAGGAGTACTACGAGGCATGATTAAAAATATCACTCTTTTTTCGCGGAGGAATCGCTTATCTGTATCATAAACGTATATTCAACATGTACAAAACGAGGATAATTAAAATATCCACATTTTATTCGTGCATACATCCAAGCCTCCATCAAACACACAAAAACGGTTACGATTCGATTTGAAAATTTTTTTATTATTGTTTCCTAAACCCATTTAAATCGCGCCAAATTAAGCCGAAATTCCAATGCTACAAAAAAATTGTAAATTTGAAAGAATAGTCATTCTTATATTTTTCTGCCTCGTTTATTTTTATAGTAATCAAGTTTCAATTTTATTCTATATTTTTTTCTTCAATTTTTCCACGGCTACGCACATAAATATATTTAACCAAGGAGCTTCGTGCGTTTCGGAACGCAACTCATGAAAACTCGCCATAATTTTCGAGATGAGCGCGCGTAATCAGCGCCCAATGGGCGATCGCCAAATGTGCGATTCTATACAATTCCACATCACGAACGTGTGTGTACACAGTTGTGTTTGAGTGATATCAGATGACGTTTGTCGTACATACAATCGTGGCAGTGGACGATATATAATTTGCTAAAAAAATTAAGAATTTCGCGTACGACAACTCTCTTCCCGTTAAATCGAAGAACGGCTCTCTATCTCTCGAACGAACGAACAAATAAAGGAGAAGTATAACTGACGACGAGCTTTCGATTAAGCAACGGCGGCGGCGACTGCGACGACGGGACGACGAGGGCAAGGATTATTATTAATCACTGTTGCTCGCTACGCCAACAGCTGACCTCGGGCTGGCTCTGACGCGCCGAAAGGATGGCAGAAGCCGCCGTTAATCTCATCATAAAGGCACCGAATCAACAGATCAAGGACCAAGTAATTAAATGCGATCTCAGCTGGACCATTGGCCGTCTGAAGGAGTATCTGTCGGAAGTCTATCCCAGCAAGCCAGTAAGTCGCGCGAAAGTGTCTCCGCCCGGTGAAAGCGTGACGTTTCTCCTCGTTTTCTATAAAATCGGAAAAAGAACATTTTATTTTATTAGTGTTATATTTTATACAGTCTTTTGTATCTGTATTATAATGTTTCGTTCGAAGAATTGTAAAGTGGAAAGATAAGATAGTATTATATTAGATAGGAATATATTTACATTTTTTGATGACATGAAAAGATATATCTTTTCTAAACATCATTAATCTTTACTGATTATAACTAGTATGTTCATTCATATGTCAGTTCATTAATATATACGAGAGACTAATTAACTAATGTTATGGGATGTTATGTTATTTTTTTACTCTAAAATCATTACGATTTTTATATAAATGTTTTGGCTGATTTATATATTTTATTATTATTATTACTATTAATATATCACAATTATATTTGTTGCAATATATATATCATATTACTAGATAAGTAACTGATTTTAGTTATTATTGTTGTTTATATAGGAAAGCTCGCATCAGAAATTAATCTACTCAGGTCAATTGCTGAATGACTCTGCACAATTGAAGGATATCCTGAGACAGCACGATGGTTTAGAAGATCAGGCATACACTGTTCATTTAGTCTGTACACCGCAGAAAATGTGTTCTGCTAAAACATCAGATCAAAATTCGACAATTGAAAATAATACAGATACAGCATCCTCCATGAGAAACAATCATATCAGAAGTAACAGTGTTCAAAATCAGAATCATGAGAATGCTAATGTCACTGCACCTCAACAAATGTATCTGCCTCAACAATACTTTGATCCTCGAAATAGTCAACAATTAGCCTGGATGCAACAGGCATACACACATTATTTCACACAATATATGCAACTGTAAGTACATATCTTTTTAGAAAACTTTTTGAAAAAGTTAGAAAAAATGCATAAATATGTGCATAAATATTACAATACATAGTTTTTCTTCTTGCAGCATGGCAGCGCAAGGCATACAATTACAAGCCAGTATTCCGTACCTGCAACAAATGAATATTAACATCAATGACAATACACCTCAACATACATACACGAGCACTAATAACAACAACAATGTCGTTGATGAACAGGCTGCCCAACCAGCAGCGCAAGAAGCGCCGGACATCAATGCGGGAAATAATGGCGCGGCTGAGGATGCCGCGTTTAATCGCGATTGGTTGGATTTCTTCTATACATTGTCCAGAATCATTGTTCTATTTGGTATAGTGTATTTCTACTCGTCTCCTCTGAGGTTTCTCATTGTCACGTTTTTGGGATTTGCAATATATCTGTGAGTATATAATATATTATTTAATATATATATATATTTCTACAACATTTTTATTGTGTATTTTTATACATACACATCTTTTTATTCTCTAATATTTTCTCAAACTTTTCTGAATATTATATATTGCATATAGATAATATAGAGTGATATCCATATTACAGATATCAGGGTGGTTTCTTCAGAGTACAACCGATATTACTAGGTGAGAACAACAATGGTCGCGTAGACAACAACAATCAAGTTTTACAAAACGAAGCGATGGGCCCACAGGCTGTGCCACAGCAACAAAATCCTCAAATGCCAACTCCGCAACCAGAAGCACGAACAAACGCTAACGAAGAGAATGAAGAACAACGGCCAGGTGCACTCGCCTTTACTTGGACCTTTTTTAGTTCGTTTTTTGCCTCGCTTATCCCAGATCAGCCGAATGTCATTTAATCTTGTCTGGGACCCAATCTGTTATAAAATCGAATTTTTTTTCCTCTACATTTACAAAAAAAGAATATATACAACCAAAACAGAAACGTGATATAAATATCAGAGATAATGGTGAACTTTATCATACATCAAATGTTGTAAGTATCATATGGTCTGTAAAATCAGAAATGCTTGCAAAATTGTGAGATTTGAGAGAGATACATGTATTCCTATGAAAGTCTGATCAGTTTTATGATATTCATTTTTGTATCTGAATCTAATAGTATATGTAAATGTTCATATATACGCGTATGTTAATAATCGACATACGGTTAAAATGGATGACATTTATTGTGGAACTCAATTTCCAATGTCGCGTGTAAAGATTATATATATATATGTATCTCGATTGAACTCGACGACAGAGTTCACGAAATGAAATAACAGTCACGTTCTATCTATATATATTAATACTAACTTTCCTTCGAAAGAAGATTGTTAGACTCGCCATCCCAAAGCTATTAGAATTTAATGTATAAAGGAAATTTTTTATGTTTGTAGAGTAATTTAAAGATACAACGAGATAAATTGTGTGCGTGTGTACATGCACGCGCGCATGTGTATGTATGCGCATGTGTGTGCCTATATAAATGTAAGAAACATGCGATTTTTGTGTAGAGCCTGTACTGTATAAAACGATAATATATTAAAAAGTAATGATAGTAGAACATTTAATTTGCTTAAAAGATTTTCTTATATAGCAATAATATTATATTATGCAAATATAATTTCTGTGATGTTTTAATACGATCGCAAATATATCCAGTGTGGTATCCTTATATAAAACGTGTCATACGCTGTATTCATATATATAAAATTATTATTTTAATATATAATTTATAATATATTATATAAATATAAATAATATATAATTATATAAATAATTATTGTATATAAAATAATAATTATATTATAACATATACATGGCAAAGGTATTTAGTAAAATTTATGTAATTTTCCTAAATATATATATAAGACGCCGATGAAATGAAAAATGTATGTAAAGCAAATAAAACAATTTTTGAAATTTGTCTCGTTTAGTCACGTGTTGTTTATTTCGACGAATTATAATAAATGTTTTTTTTATAATACAATATCAATTAATAATAAAAGTTGAAATTTATTACGGAAGAATGGGTTTTATATATACCGCGCTGATTTATGAAAGGCGCATGCGATCACGTGGACTGTGACATGTTGATGCAATAATGCACAAGAAATTACTGTTTTATTTATGGAAAAATTATTTTTATATCGATAATTTATTCCTCGTTATATTTTGAAGTGTTGAATTTATATTATTTAATTTTTGGAGACAATTTCTGTAGAATTACATTAACCTCCTTTCAAACGTTCAGTCGTTTTGTTGCTTCATAATAAAAAGAAAACGTAAGATATTTATACTAATCTATTCTATCTAATTATTATAAAATATTATTATGTTTGAAATAATTGTCAAAACTATATATTATATTATAGTGTGAAAAAGTTTGTTATTTTACAGAAATGCCTCGTTCGAAAGTTTCCGATTTACTTGGTATACTTAAGGGAGCACATAGTGTGACAAATGCTCTGATAAAACATCAAAAGGAAGCAATCAAGTACACAATCACACACTCCAGTTTAAAAGATTTACCTGAAAAGTACATACAAGCTGCGAGAAAAAAACTGAGTGACGTAGAACCAAGTAAGATTCCTGTAAGTCTTTCGAATAAAACTGAGCAATATGTCAACCTTTTATGTATATTGCTTCTCTTATAATGTTTGTTTTGTATAGGAACAAGTAGCAAAAGATTTGAAAGAAGCAACTGAGCGTGTGAGTGTAGTTGAAAAAGGTATTAGACAATATATTAAAATAATAGCTAGTCAAAACTTGGGTATAAAAAATGATGATTATGCTCCCAAGAAGAAGGCAAAATTACATGTATATAATGCTGCAAAAGATCCAAAAGAATTGCCTATTGATAAAGATGTCACTTTGCCAAAACATGATAGTAACAAATTTACAATCGAGAAGTCTTCAGAAGGTGTACAAAATAATACAACATGGAAATATATGACTGTAAAAGAAAAGATTGAAACTATTGCCACTTCAGATAAAGAGATACCTCAAATAGAACTCTCTGATAAAGATAAAGAAATTTTAAGGAAATTAGAATTGGAACATGAGAAAAATATTAAAAATAAAGTTGCTAATTCTACTTCTTCCTCTACAATTAAGACACCTGAAAAAAAATGTGCAAACATTCAAACAGAGCCTAAAGAAAGACCAAAGGCTAAATTAACAGTTAAACCAAAACAACTTGTAAGTATATCAAAATAAATTTTTGATATCTATATATATTTATTTATATTCAATTATTATGAATATCTCATTGCCTAATGTATATTATAGTTGTCACCTACTGCCAGAGAAAGAAAAGTTCCTGCTACAAGATTGCAAAGAATGGTAAGCTTTGGTACCTTGGGTCTTGGTCTTGGTGTTGGTACCGTCGCAGAATATACACGGAGGACATTAGGATTAAAAGAGCAAAGTGTTGGAGATACAATTGACAATATGTTCCTCACTAAAGCTAATGCAGAAAGAATAGTTTCAACATTGTGCAAAGTGAGAGGTAAGATTTATAAAAGTGCCACATATCTATACATATATATATAGGAATTATATCATTTTATCAAAAATACAGGTGCAGCTTTAAAAATTGGTCAAATATTGAGCATCCAAGACAATACTATTATAAGTCCTGAATTGCAGAAAGTCTTTGAGAGGGTCAGACAAAGTGCTGATTTTATGCCAACATGGCAAGTAGAGGTAAAAATGATATATAGATATAGATCTAAAAAAAAATGTATATCAATTATATTAATATCATTAATATCAAAATTATTGCAATTATTTCTAGAAAGTATTAGGTAGCGAGCTTGGACACAATTGGAGAAATAAATTGGCATTCTTTGAGGAGAAACCATTTGCAGCAGCATCCATTGGTAGATAAACATTTCCTTTTTTCATGTAATCTCGATTGAAAGTTCTCTATAATTATGTGATGTACTTTAGGACAAGTGCACCATGGTATATTATTGAATAAGCAAGATGTAGCAATAAAGATTCAGTATCCAGGTGTGGCTATAGGTATTCAAAGTGACATTGAGAATTTAGTAGGCATAATGAAGGTACAAAATAACAATATCTTAAATCTCAACAAGAATCTCGATCATAGAGAATACTGTTTAAATATCATATTACCTTATAAATATCAAATATTATTTTTATATTACAGGTTTGGAATATGTTTCCAGAAGGAATGTTTATAGACAATGTGGTGGAAGTTGCGAAACGCGAGCTTGCATGGGAAGTGGACTATATAAGGGAAGCAGAATGTACAAGGAAATATAGGGAATTAATGGTGCCTTATCCAGAGTATTATGTGCCTACAGTAATAGGTATTGAATAAAAATAACATAAAATATAATTAACTAGATATTAAATGTTAGATAAAATTTCTAGATGATCTCTCCACAAAGCAAGTATTCACGACAGAGATGATAGAAGGCATACCTGTTGATAAATGTGTAGATATGAATATTAAGATTAGAGAACATATAAGCGAACTGATTATGCGTTTGACTCTAAAAGAATTATTTGAATTTCGATTTATGCAAACTGATCCAAATTGGTCCAATTTCTTCTACAATGTTGATACAAAACAGGTATTATATATACGAAATAACTATATATTTGTAATTTTAATCAAAATCTAATGGATATATCTTTACAGTTAATTTTATTGGATTTTGGGGCATGCAGGACATATGAAAAAGCATTTATGGACAAATATATAGACGTTATTAATGCTGCAAGTGAGGGGAATCACAATAAAGTTTTGCAGTTGTCTCGAGAAATGAAATTTCTCACTGGATATGAGTCCAAGGTATCTTATATCTATATCACACAGACACAATCTATAATATATATAAAGCAAGATTTATACATCGGCAGATTATGGAAAATGCTCATGTGGATGTGGTCATGATCCTTGGACAAGTATTCGACAATAATCATGAGTATTACGATTTTGGCGGCCAAGATGTGACAAGACGGTACATCTCACATTACCATATTTAAATTAATATCTCATATCTAGCGATAAAGTAACAATTGCGTATTGTATGTGTTTGCAGGATTCAAGCTTTAGTACCAACCATAATAAATCACAGACTGTGTCCACCACCCGAGGAGATATATAGTTTGCACAGAAAATTATCAGGGATATTTTTGCTGTGCGCAAAACTTGGAGTTAGAATTAAATGTCGCGATATGTTTCGGGAGATTTATGCTAATTATAAGTTTGGTTGATATGTTAGTATTGATGATATAACAAAATGCATATAATTGAGATGCCTAGACATTTTTTGTACAAATGTATGCGTTTCCTAATAAAATTATAACATGATACTAGCAATTCCTACTTTAACAACATGAAGAATTTAATAATACTTGTGAACACAGATGGCGTGATTCGGATGATTAATTATGGCGGCATATTGCCTATGCCACCAAGGAGATGGTCGCCAGCAGTTTTGAAAGATATCTATTTAAATATATAATTTCTTAAAAATCTAACATGTGTATGCGACAGTTATTTTCAATATCATTATAAAATGTCTCAGGACAAAATAGGTATATTTTCATGATCAATCAAAATGTCTTTGCGTTAAACAATATGCTTGCTATGCTACTTGTATCTGTTTTGTACAGTTTCATCAAAATATTAAAAAAAAATTGTTTACAGTTGGCATTGACATTCTCTTGGAATTTTTGGAAGTAGCATTTAATCACATATTATTCTTTCGAAAAATCTATCCTAAGGAAATTTTCGTTAAGAGAAAGATATATGGAATTACGGTATATGTGTCTGAACACCCAGAATTGAATGAGTACTTGTCAAATATTTTGAATGCGATTAGGGAACTAATAAAGGAGAATGAGAACAGTGTTAAAACCATCAGTCTTACCTTCTACAACGAGAATAAGTTACCAATAGAAAAATTTGTCTTTGATACCATTAAACTGCAAGCAGAGTTTATAGAGTATGTTGAATGATTGATAAATGTGTTCTTAAGAGAATTCTAATCTTTAAAATTAATCTCTTCATTTTAAGGCAAGACCCGTATTATTTAAAGACAGAAGAAGCATTGAAGACAATCTGTTTGAAATTATCAATGTGCGATACATATTTAAAACCTCTCCCTGATGGTTCAACATTTTCTATAGAAATTCAGACATATGAAACTGCACATATTATTTTAAGCGAGAATCCGAAATGCGAAGGATTTCCATGGATTATTGAAGATGGTGCAGTAGAGATGACCAATAAAAATCTATTACCACTAAAAGATATTAAAACAGATTGTTTAAATTTACAAATGTATGTGATTGAGGACACAGCAAATAAAACCTAAGGTTTAAGCAAAAATTTGTATAACTATCTTTTTGTATTTTTATTTTATATAAAACATAAAAAAATGCATCTGTCTGCAGTTATTAATCCCATTAGTTTAGATATAAATTCTATCTCTATTCCATAAAATGTTACCGATAGCATTATTAAGTTTGTCCCATTAGTTTAGATATAAACTCTTTATCTCTATTCCATAAAATGTTACAGATAGCATTCAATTGATAAGAACAATCAAATATTTCAGATTTTACCGACAATTTACTGGCATCAATTTTAATGATCTTGACTTTCCATTTGTCTTCAAATTCCTTGATTTGTGCATCATCTATCACACAACTTGACCAAGGTTTGAACCTGAAAAATGTTTGAATTAGATGAAACTTTTATTCAGATTACAATATAGAGTCATAGCTGCATTACTTTGTGCCAATCACTATATTTGCCGGTTTCTCTTTTATCGCAGTCATTGTATTCATTAAGTATGGAACATCATTAAAGCTTGATGCATCATCAAAGGAAAACACAGAGCACATTGCGTCAACTTTATCTTTGCACGCCTGAAAAAGAAATGTTATTTTTGCATATATTATTTTTTTGGATTAAATATATATAGCTCTTGTAAAAGTCCTTATTGTTTCATACATACTGGTAAAATATGATTGTATTTTTTTATACTGCTTTCTGATGTGTCCCAGAATTGCAGCTTGAAGAGAACAACTTTATCCCAAATTTTTACAGGCCAAAAAACGTTTGTTTTCCTTATACCATTAGTTTCTGTATAATTGTTGGATTCCAGAGTGCCTGCAAGTTTACTCACTACTGAAGTTTTTCCCACACCGGATCTACCTATCATAAAGATCTTATAAGTGACCTCCTCGATGGAACTGGGTAACGATGGTCTCTCCAGAATACCTGAAATAAATGGAAAGCGATCCTTAGAGCAAAGAAAAGCAATACGCGTTTTTATTATTTGTCATATATAATTAATACCATAGAATCTTCTCTTTTTGGAAGAATTTACGTAGAAATGATGGACCAAAGATTCTCCTTCCGCTGAAGTTAACCAGTTCATATTAATAGCATTCATGTCTCTTCACTACGGAATAAGAAGCAATTAAATATATGCAGATGCAACGTGTGTGATAAAATGCATAATTACTCGTATCATTTTACATTATAGAAATTTGAAAAATCAATCGTAATCAAATCGATAATGTGATCAACATTTTTGTGCGTATTATCGACCGTGCAAACAACATCGATCATTTATGAGAACCGAAGGCAACGACCAATTGGAAACCTATGTTGCTCATCGCGCATGAAAAATCTGTTTTCCCTTTTATTTTATCTTTATATTCTAACAAAATTTTAAGGATCTCGTAACAAAATTTTCATAATTACTTGACGATTCTGTCACAATGCGAATAGACGTAGAGAAATAAAAAAAAAAAAAAACAAATGGAAATTATATACTAACCGTAGAGTTCAATCTCTCGGCGTCTCTTTTAAATTCGCAAAAGCAGCGCGCGCTTGAGCCAATGGCAGCGCGTCCCGCCTTAGCGCGAACCAATCGTCGGACGCGCTGTATTGGTTTACGAATGAGACGACGGACGCGATTGGTGATGCGAGCGGCGTCATTTCGGTACGATCGCGCGGCCAGCCAATGGGCGCGACGCGCGCTACGTAACGAGATGTTTGCGACCGAGCCGCCATATTGTGTATGCAGCGCGGGTCGGTGGCGCGTGTATATGGGTCTTTCGTGAGAATTTTCTCTCTCTCGTTAAACGATAGGGGTGCATGAATCCACTTACCTGGCTAACCGGGCACATCGCGCGCGCACAATGGATCCGTCTAAATTGAAAGTGGTAGAGTTACGAGCCGCGCTGGCCGAGCGCGGTCTCGACACCAAGGGCAACAAGCCAGTGCTCGTCGAGCGGCTACGCAAGGCGCTGGAGGAGGAGGAGGAGAAGGAGACGACGACACAAGAGTGTAAGTTGCGCCTGTCATGCATCAAGTCTCTTCTATCTTCATTCCTATAATGATTGCGTATAAAAAATTTTATCCTATTTTACCTACCTCTTGTGACATATACCGGTATCCCGTGTCCCGATGGTAAGGTATTTTCCTGATGATTTTTCTGTATTGTCTTCCTGCACGAACATATTTATGACTATAAAATGTAGCTGACGAGTATGATTAATGTCTCTTGAAATTGTGTTGAAAAAGACTCTTAAATTTATATATTTAAATATTATCTCTAATATAGTGTAATATATATAATATAGTATATTTACACTTTGTAGTCTACAAAGATATAAATTTCACATTTTATTATATTTTCCACAGTTGGTCAAGAAAGAGCTTCGTATACAGAGAATATAGATGACACAGGTGTTAAAGAAACACAAGAAACAATTGCGGAAGCCGCAAGATCTGTACAACCACCGAGGACACCTAGTAGAGCGTCTAGGAGTTCTTCCATGGTGACTCCTACAAAAGTTTCTACGAGAAACGCATTAAGGACGGCTACAACTCCAAATTCTTCAAAGCAATCTACTCCGAGCAAACTTCAGTATACTGAGAAATCGTATGAAACATTACCGATAATAACAGAGTCTATTTCTGAGGAACATGTAGTACAACAAGAAGAAATATCAAAATGGTCCCCTGAAAAGCTTGAAGAGAAACAAGAAGACAATGCGTCAAATATTATTCAGAACAAGATTCATTCACCATTGTCTGTAAAATCTCAGGAGGAAGAAGCAAAACATGTTAATATTTTAGAAGATAATAAGTATGAAGCAAATGTTCTCCAAGTACCTGTGACAGAATCATCTGAAAAAGCTAGTACAATTGCATGTGTAGATCGATTTTCTATACCTCAAGAAGAGCATGAAACAAAACAATCTAGTATAGATGAAGTTTACAAAGTTCAGAAACAATCTGTAGGAACAAAAAGCCTAGATGAGAAAACAGAAATTAAGGAAGACATTAATGTCGATAAAGTGCAAGACACTTCCGAAAAAGATATTGAAAATAAAATTTCAGTTGAACAAGAGGATGTAAGTTATAGAGATGATACATATAATGATAAGAATACTTTAAACATTCCAAAAGTTGAACAACCACATGTGATACCTGATCAGGTAGACGAAACAAATAATATCGAGTTAAAAGATGAAGAAAAAACTACTAATGACAATTATACAGTACAAGATGAAGCAATGGACGTTTCTGTTAATATAGAAGATGAAGATGAGAAAACAGATAATATTCCACAAGATGAACAGGTATATCTAGATCTCTTGTAAAATATTAATTTTTTTTTTATATAGATTATCTCTTGTAGATTTAATATAAGAATCACTATTTTTAATCTCATATATTTATCTTTATTTACAAAACAAGATTATAGAAATGTCTGAAAAAAAGCAAGAAGATGCAAGCAAGTTGAATGCAGAAAAATCAAATAAAAAAGAATACAATGACAGGAAAAGGAAAAGATCTCCTAGCCCAGTGGAAGTCTATCAGGCATCTCCTGTACCACAGAAGGGAGAAGATGAACCAGATTTTGATGAATCAGCTATGATCTTATCTTGGTGTAAGTTTTTATAAATACTATATATTTTTTTAGGCCAGAATTATTTTTAATTAATTTAAATATATTTTTTTGTTTTGGCTTTTAGATGATTCCGACTTGAATTTAGTTATCGACAAAGAAGGATTTCTCTCTGCCACACCTATGCATAACGGTGATTTCTGTCACATATGGGCTGGTGCAAGAGCATCTCATGGTTTCATAAATGGGAAAGTATACTATGAAGCCAAAATTACAGAGCATCATTCTTCTGTCACAAAAGACGAGAAGTATGTGCTCAGAATTGGTTGGTCAGTTCCCTTCACATCCATGCAACTTGGCGAAAAGGGATTGAGTTACGCGTATACGAGTGCCGGGCAAAAAGGCACTGACGGAAAGTTCACGGATTATGGCTCGCGATTTGGCAAGGACGATGTTGTGGGATGCTACCTCGATATGACGCCCGAGAATACCGTAGAATTGTCTTATACAGTGAACGGCAAAAATCTCGGGTCCGCATTTAGCATCTCCAAAGAGGAGCTCGGCGACAGACCGTTGTTTCCACATATTCTGAGCAAAAACTGTACGTTTGTCTGCAATTTCGGGCAAGAACAGGGGTGGTGCGAACAAATTCCGGATTATATCGTAATAGGTAACGTAGAATCAAAGGACAGAATCGCCGGTCCGCGTAGACCGGACGCAAAAGCACACTGCGAAGTGATAATGATGTGTGGTTTGCCTGAGGCGGGAAAAACTACCTGGGCGAGGAAACACGCAGCCGACCATCCAGATAAATTGTATAATATCTTAGCGCTGCACAACTTAGTTGAAAAAACAGGAGTAAGTATCTGTAAAGTATGATGAAGTTTTATATATACATATATATAATATCATTAATTATAATACTATATTTCTAGGACGTTGCTCTATCAGATCAAGAAAAAAATTGTCGGCGAGAAGTTATTATTGATAAGTGCAATCGCGCGCTCGATCAACTGATCGATGTGGCAAGTGGCAGAAGACGTAACTATATATTAGATCAGGTATGAAAGAATATATATGTTTGTAAATTAGATTACCAAATTTAAATATATATTTTGTAACAATATTTGTGATATCTTTTGTGGCAGAAGAACAACGTGTATTCTTCTGTACAAAGACGTAAAATACGAAATTTCTGCGAATATCAACGAAAAGCGGTCGTTGTCATACCAACGGATGAAGAGTATAATCAACGTTTGTCCGCACACAATGCAATCGAAGGAGATGTCTCAGAGTCTGATCTTAAGGAAATGAAAGGTATCTCTATTGACACTGTATTTAATAATATATAATAGACTGAAATTAATACAGTATGTGCATTATTTACAAACAATGTTTAATTGAAATGTCATAATTATAGCAAATTTCACTGCACCTTCGGTGGGAGAGAACTTTGACGCAGTGGAATGGGTCGGACTTGATGAAGAAGATGGTAAGAAGCTCATCGAGAAATATAACAAGGAGGGTAAAGAGGCCGGATTTGGTCAGCAATCGTCTACGGCAAAACGACCGCATCTTGACAAGACTGAGGCTAGTAACAGAGAAACGCGCGATTCGCGGAACAATCGAGACACGCGAGATCATCGAAGAAATAATTGTAAGTACATATTATTCGCGATTGCTCATTATGAATTATGTACGGTATTACATTACTTCCATGTTTATATGAAGATCAAGACAGAGGTCGTAACCCACCTTGGCGCGGTCCTAATATGGGAGGTTGGAGAGGAGAAAGACCGCAAAGAGGTGGATATATGAGGCATAGTGGTGGTTATGGACATCCTCATACCCCATGGAGGCTCCGAGGACGAGGTGGACACGCAATGATACGAGGAGTCGATAGAAGAGTTGGCAATGTTGATAGGAGATCAGGAAATGATAGAAACCGATCTGTCGTACCCAGACAAGGAAGTTGGGGTCCTGTGAGGTAATTGGCGATTATTATTGATATAGTAGTTCCTTAAAACGAGTAGCCTGATAAATCATTTTCCAAAATACATTCGCAATGATCTTAGTGGGAGTTATCAAGGATCGCAGCAGTCCGGTTGGGGTCAGCAGGACAATTGGTCGAGTAATCAAACCCAAGGTAATTGGAATCAGCAAAGTACCTGGGGTCAGCAACAATGGGCAGGTGGTTGGAAAGGATACGGTCAAAGCACATACAGTCAAGCAGGATACAATCAACAGGGATATGGCAATGGTAGTAATTGGAACAACTGGAATCAGCAGTATTACAACAACCAGTATTGGGGCCAGCAACAACAGGGTGGTCAAACCACTGCAGCTGGCAGCCAAGCTGTAAGCAAACAATAATCCACCATCGTAAATCTTACCGAGAATGGAAACTGAATGTAAGGTATAGACATATAGAACGCCGTTTTTGTTTAAACACAAACTTTCAATTATAATTGTATTTTATCATAATCGATCGTGTTTCTGTAATAATATGCATTTTACAAATATACATATATTTGCAGGAGATTACAAGTGAAATGATTGCATCGACTTCTACCAACATGGGAGCAGAATATAGTTATTTGCAACAATAACAAAGTCTTATGCACGAATGAATTACCTGCTCACAAAGTACTGCAATCATCACGCAAGTTTCATTCATATATATATATATAACCTCATATATAGAACTACGTTACACATTAACATGATAACGGACATATTGTGCTTTTGGTAAAGATTCTTTCATCCCTCATGCACAAAAATACTGTTACAAGTTGTTAAAAAGAAAACTCATTGCAGCAAATGAGAAATTATTTTAAAATTATAATATACTAGCAAGTTTTGAAAATCCTTACCGGAAACACAGGTCTAATAATCTAAGTGCATTAAAACGATAATGTAACATTCATGAGAAAAAAAATATAACTTTTTATCGCATTTTTCTCAAGGAATCATAAAAACAGGTAGGAGAAAGAGGAAGAGTACTACGTATGGGTACAAACTACATGCAAGTAGCATTAAAAGTCGAAAAAAAAAAAAGAAAAATAGTTATTCTCGAAAACTTTTGTAAATATGTACAGATCTAAAGTAAAGAGAATTGTGCAGAAAATTATCAATCTATTTATACACCATATATATATAGCGAATTTGGTTCACACAATGGGCACTAGTGCATATTGGAGATTGTTATACACATATTGACATAAAACATATTCATAGTACATTAATTAAGCATTATGAACGCTTTTCTACATTAAAGTTGGATGCGTATTGGCGCGTTTTTTCCCTAAAATGTGCGAGATGAAGCGATTAAATACGCCAGATGCCCAGCATAAATTACATCACATTGGTCAGTATATTATATGTTAGATGTTTTATCAGTTGCTTACATTTTTACACCTAATTAAATTAGTGTATGATAAGTTTTTTAATCTTTGCATGCCAAGCACTGCTTGTTAGTGCATCCAACCAAATTCGCTAATAGTGAATCTTTATATAGCAGTGCCCCTTTTAGAAAGAGAAAAATATGCAAGGGAAAATTATATATATATATATATATATATATTTAATGATAATATTAAAAATTAGATATATACGGAGAGACTACGTCATAACGGAAAACTTGGCTAAATTGAAATCAAATTTTAAATTCACTGGAGAGAGATATGTGGTAAGCGCGTGATGCCAGGTACGCCCTGTATGTGACGGCACGCATCGATCCACTGATATATAGATTGAATATATGATTCTTCGCGTTTAAGTTCTCCGCGTCCTAAATTCCACGCTTCAGGGCTTTTCTTCCGCGGCGGCGCTTATCTTACGCGCCATCGAAGTACCTCTTATAATTTTCACATGACGTTAAAGCCGCCGCTAACGGTAAGTCGCATTTAGCGTCCGGAAGTTCCTGATCTTAAGCGAGGGATTACAAGATACTTAGCTCTCCGCTGCACGGCATTACCGTTGCACAGCGACGGCAGATTGTACCTGAAATTCTTCTCCAACTTTGATTCTAACCAACGTGGTTACCACGGATTCTCGCGCCTTATTTTTCAACGCGGCGAGGATAAACGCGCGCCTTATCCTCCCTTAATGCTACTTATTCAGTTGGCGAACTGTTTTGCGAATTATACGTCGCGTATTTTGTATATCTTTATCTTTCTATACACCACCAATAATGTATAAGAAGAAAAAATATTATGGTATAAATAAATTATATTCTTTGACACACATTTTATACATGCAGATTTTTCATTGCACAACACGACACGCAGAACAAGATCTCCCTTGCTACGATAATTAATTTTATTTATTAAGCAATCCCAGATGTTTGTACCTGTATTGTATCTTCTAATTACACGAAATACTTTTCTCTAATATTATGTACATGCATAAATATAATGTTCTTTTTTTAATGCCGAAAATTTCTACTCATCTAATTTTGCTCATTGGTCTTACAGCTATTCTGCATCAGTTATCGATTCATAGTGCATTTGTTACCCTACGTACTTCCTCTGCTAGAATATAATTCAATTTCCTTACATCCTCTTCAGAATACAAAGAGCGAACACTTGACTACGTCCGTCTGCACGAAAATTTGTTTATTTCCATCTCAACTGCATCTGTGTATATGTGTCTCGCGACGATATATTTTTATATATATAAATATCGTTTATATGTTTATAAACACGATGTTTATCAACATCCATCCTGAGAATATAAAAGCGTGAACCAACTGTTCGTATTTACATACAAATTCACGAATTTAGTGAATTAAACATTATACAATTTAGTAACGAAATAAATGCGACCAAGCATCTGTGTGTGTAATACAAATTACCCTTTCATTATGTCGATCGGAAGTAAATATTTGACAAAAGATCTTGTGAACAAAACGGAAGACGATTTCCATCTCCTTTTATGAATTTGTTCAACCGTAGGAGAGAGAGATCCTTTTTTACGTTCAAAGAATGATTGTCTTAGCTCGGTCTTTTTTCCTTCGTACATATTGTACAGTGTGTACATTGTACAATGTCTCATTAGCTCGTATAATACAATATCTCATTAGCTCGTTTTTTTTTGCCTTCGTACATGTTGTACAGTGTGTGTGATGTTCCGAGCTAAAGTACTTCTGTGTGAAATCGAAAATAATTTAACAATTAAGAATAACGATACGCAAAGTTTTAGATATAATTAAAAGATATTAAGAAAAACGATAGAAAGAGAGAGAAAGGTGAGCTATTTTTTAAGAAATAATCAAGAACTCTATATATATTTAACCTACACATAGCATATATGCTAGTACCTCTGTGTTACCACATAAGCGAAGAAGAAAATAGGGTCCCGCAATGTTCGTGTGGACCGTATTATATAATGATGATAATCAGTTAGTAATTTTTTTCTATACGAGGAAAAACAAAAAAAAAGTTAATAATAATAATCTATGTAAACTCTTAATTGTTGACACAAAAATGTACAAACTTATTCGTAAAAATAAAAAGGTTCTTCTATTTATTTCGGCCTTTCACCCGCATCTTACATCCACAAGTAATATGTAATTTTATGCGCTACACTGTTTTATAAAATGATGAAATTCAGCCTTGTGTAATACACATAGATCTATATCAAAATTATTAAATACAAGTATGGTATTTTATAAAGAGAGTAGATTGACGAGCAAGAATAATATGTGTGGCGTATTTATGTAAGGAAACTTTTTCACGTGTATTTGTGTTCATCAATACAATACAATAGTCTGTACATGCATCACGTTAGCTGAAAGCTTGTCGCAACAATTGTTTCTTTTTCTGATTTCTTTTGGTTACATCTAAATGTGTTATAATGATGTTAACTATATGAGCAAACTCAGGAGGCACAAATCAGTACAACATCCCCATTGTTACAAATAATTAATCTGAAAAATATCGCTCTAATGTATCACGTTATATTGCTTTAATATATGTATATGTGACAATTCAGATACGACGATTAATAATGTTGCAAAAATAAAATTGTTTAATAATGAAATATACGAAGCAGCGATTTCGCGATTAAAGTAATTAAAGATAAACGTACGACGAAAGTTACTTCTAGAAATGACAAAATAATAATTGGATCTCACCGATTTCTTCAGTGCGAAAATACAATAATCCCTTTATTATAAAACAACAATTTATATTATGATCGGTTTCTCATCAAACCTTGTCAATATAACATAAATTAATAAAATTATAATCGAATATATATATATATTTTTTTTTTCGCTCGCATATTTACATGAGTTGAGCATATAGTACTCTTTTATATATTACGATATCATATGAAATGTTCGATAAAATAATAATGATGCATAAATTTATGCATATAACATGACTTTAACGAAAAAAAAATTTGATTAAAAATTATATTGTTACACATGTTGCTAATAATTGTTAATGCCATTATTATAAAGTTGATAAAAGATTTGTTCATCTACAGACGCGTGTAGATGAAAGTTATTTAAAAAAATACTATATATGTATTTGAACCCAGATAGCCAAGTCTTGAAAGCAGATCATGCCATATCTGCTATCAACTATTGTCAGCAAAAGGGCTACAAATTTGATACAAAAGTTATTATTGTCGATTAAATCAACAAATTGGTGCCAAAAATCGAGCAAATAATAACAATTTCTATACCAAATTTGTAATCTTTTTGATGACAATAGTTGATAAGACACTTGGTATGATCTACTTTCGGCAGACCTGGCTATCTGGACATACATAAAAATATAGAAATAAATATATAATTAGTAAAACAATTCCAAATTGTTAAAAATACCGCAGAAAATACATTCGTATACGATAATAAAAACTCTATATGTAAAAGACCGTAATTATTGTATGCGTTAGAATAAAAACTGTATACTCAATAATTGCCAATATATACTTTTTGATATCAATACGTTCATCGTTCGTTAATTTGGAATAAAAATCGCGTAAAACTAATCGAGCAAGATGCAACTGTATGTCATGGATAATGGCAATGGCATTCTGTTTGACATATTCCTTGCGATTTACTTGTTAAAACCAACATAAAGTTGGATCTCGGCATATGTTAAAAATTCTTTTCAAGAAACATTCACACACACTGTATGTCCCTTTTATTATTATACTAGCTTACACAGAAGGCCAGCTTCAAATCCGCTTTTTTTATTTTTGAATTACACAATATAATAAATATATTTCGATAATTTATTCATTAATGATATACCGAATACATACAGATAGACAAACGCGTTTACCGCAAAAAAAAAATGTGTTTAAATAACAAATATCTCTCATATGTGTCAAACTCAGGAGAAAAATATACACTTTCGTCTTACGTCGATATAAAAACGTAATAACAAAATGTTTTCACAAAAATAAATCTAATATACACATAATATACGTACGAGGGCTATTCGGAAATAAACCTCCAGTAGGCTTGCAAAATAAAATAAAAAACAAAAACAACATTTTATTATACACGAAAGTTACATATATACATTATTTTTCGACATAATCGCTATTGACTGTGTCGAAAAATAATGTATATATATAAGTAACACCGTTGTGTATAATAAAAAGTGTTTCCTATTTCTTATTTTATTTTGCAAGCCTACCGGAGGTCGATTTCCGAATAGCTCTCGTATAT